TTCTTAGTAAAGGCAGTTGAATTCAAAGATGTTAAAATATTCTTTAGGTGAGTTAATGAAGGCTTGACCCCCAATGGTTTCGGTAGAGATGGAATGGAAGACATTATTATTGAGAGATTTCTGTGTCAGTGTAGACAGGCCAGGGTGGCTGGCTCCTACCCAATACCTCAGAAGCTGGCTTCTGTTTCCTTCTTTTTAGCTCATATTTCTACTGCACCAGGCCCCAAATTCCCTGCTTTCTAGGTTACATAATCATCATTTGCTCCTCTTAAGGAGCTATACTTCTTGTAACAGTCTAGTTAAGGGTGTGGCTCAAGAGTGCTTGCCCAATATGAATAAATCTGAATTTGGTGGCTAGCACATATACCCCCCTGAAGTGAGGGAGGAGATGAGGAAGGAGTGGTGGAGGTAGAATAAAGAAAGGAATTAAATCTTGTAACAGGAAAACTGTAGTAGATCCCTTAAAGAAAATACCAGCTCCAGGCTGTGTATTTAAGGTGGTGCACATCTTTAGAGCCAGCACTTGGGAGGCAGAGGCAGGGGATCTCTGTGAGTTCCAGGACAGCCAAAGCTAAACAGAAACCCTGTTTTTTTTGTTGTTGTTGTTGTTTGTTTGTTTGTTTTTGTTTTGGGGGGGAACTACTTTAAAAAAAAAAACAAAACAAAACAAAAAGCACCAAGTTCAGGGCGTGACCCCTCCTCAAAGGAATAACATGTAAAGTGACAGAAGAGGACACCTGATAACGCTCCTCTGACTTCTGCAAGTGGATACAGATGCACACCCACACATACTCGTGTGCATATACCACATGTACACGCAAAATTTCTAAAGTAAAATAGTAAGCCATGCATGGAGGCACACACCTCTAATCTCAGCATGTAGGAAACAGAGGCAAGCAGATCTCTTGTTTACATAGTGAGGTCCAAGCCAGCTAGGGCTACAGAGTGAGACCATCTCAAAAAATAAATGACTAGGAGTTGGAGAGATGACCTAGTGATTAAGAGCTCTTCCTGAGGACCTGAGTTAGGTTCCCAGTACCTATATGATGGTTCACAATTGTCTGTAACTCTACTTCCAGATGATCTAGTGCCCTCTTCTGACCTATGTGGGTACCAGGCATGTATGTAGTACACATACATGCTAGCAGGATACATGAAAATCTTTAAAAATACATAAGGAAAAAGAGGTGTAGTTCTAGTCCCCCTGTGGGGAAGAGGATGCCTTGTCACCTTCTGTGTGTCTGACTCAGTAAAGGTGATGAATGCACAGAGAGACATAAAGCACAGTTCATAACAGAACTGCTATCTGTAAATATGCCAAAACTTCATTTATTTTGTGAACACTTTAAAATAGGAATCCTTAAAAATGGAGACCTAGGGCTGGAGGGATAGCTCAGCCATTAAAGGCCAGGCTCACAACCATAAAAATGGAGACCTGTTTTTTTTTCTTGCTTTTTACTGCCCTAAAGCTTGTGCCTTTTGGAAAAAGTAGGTCTGCAAAGTGTTATTTTTTTGCCTTTCCTTCCTGTCCTCTTACTCTCCAGCTGTCTCAACTCAGAACCTCGTAGGAAGAGTGTTACACTTCAGCAAAATGTGTTTCCTGTGACATTTCAACAACCCTCCATTTTTGTCTTTCCATGTTAGAAGTGTTCCTCTTCCTCTCTGCATTGGCAGCTCTCTTGACTTGTCCCCCTTCAGCTCAGCTCATCTAGTACTGCTATGTTTGTAGAGTATAACAGAGGAAGAAGTCATATTTATAAACATGTGTTCCACCAAGCTGTTTCAAGAATAGAAATAGCATCTATCTACTTGTGTCTGTTCTCTCTGCAGTTGTACTCATCCAGCTGTGTTCATCCACCTTTATAAATATGTCTCCTGTCTCTGATCTGTTGTTGTTGTTGGTTTGATTTGTTTGGTTATGGGCAGGGTCTCTGTATGTAACCCTAGCTGTCCTAGAACTCAGGGATCTGCCTCGGCCTCTGCCAAGACTAAAGGTGTGCACAGTCATGCCAGGCACCGTTCTTGTTTAAACTAAGCAGAGCAGCCTATCACTATGAGGGAGGCATCTGATTGAATCACTCTGCTAACACATAAAATCTATCTCAATTACTTAAAAAATAACTATTTCCTTAAGAAGGCAAGATCTTGGAAAAGGATAGAAATCCTATTCCTTTCTTTCCTTTGGATACTTACCCCCTTGTAGACTTAACATGCCATTTATCATAGGTGAAAGGAGAGGTAAATGAATAGTCTAAGAAAAATAAAGGTTAATAAACATAACAGTGCAAAAGTAAATAATTTCTACATGTCATTAACTGCCATCAGTAAATGACCTGCTGAGGAAATAACTGATTAGTGTTAGAAACTTGACTTTACTCCAGGGTATAAAAAGTTACAATTAAGAAAGAAAATAATGACATGCTGTCTTTGAGCCCCCATTGTCCTTCCTCATAACGCCATAGCAGTTGCTAGTTTATTACTGGGGCCACCTGCTCTCAAGGGCAGCCCTTTTAACTGCTAGCTACAGCCACCACCCCAAAAAAGAAAGAGAACAATGAATGCTTTTTTTGCTTTTTTGTTTTGTTTTGGTGGTGGGTGGTAGTGGTACATGTCTTTAATCCCAGTACTTGGGAGGCAGAGTTCAAGGCCAGCCTGGTCTACAGAACAAGTCCCAGAGAAGCCCTGTCTCAAAAAAAAAAAACCACATACATACATACATACATACATACATACATACATACATACATACATACATACATACGGCCCTTGGTGGTCTTTGCAGAAGACCTGAGTTTGGTTTCCAGCTCCTGGGTGTGACATCCCAGATGCCACGTAGTACTGAGGATTATGTAACTGAGTCCATTCTCTTCTGAAGCAATTTGGAATTATTTTTCCAAACTCCCAATAATTGTGCCCTGTGATTAGCAATTCTACTTACTTATCTTACAGACATATTTATGCCAAACAAAGCTGAATCATTTATTTAAGGGTATCCTTTGCTGTTTATTTGTAATAACAGAAGAATGGAACAATCTAATTGTCTATTTGAATGCAGCCATGGGGGGTGGGGTGGATATTGTAATTCCAGGACTCAGAAGGCTAGGTTAAGAGGATTGGAAATTCATGACCAGCCTGGGTTTGATCCCTAGAATCTAGTAGTGGAAAGAGAACTAGCTCCCTTGACTTACTCTGTGACTTCCAAATGAACATGTAGTGCATGTAGATACACACAAATAAATAAATGTGGGATTTGGGGGGGTTGTTTTGTTTTAATAAAACGATGTATTCCTTCTATCATTGTTCATTAGCCTTCAAGTTCCCTACTTAGAAACGTTCAATGATGTTCCTGTAAGAATTTTCAGTGGATAAAGATTCCTGATAAGCCTGGTGACATATGTTTGATCAATGGGACCTACATAATAGAATGAGAGAACTGATTGTTGCAGACGGCTTCAGCCCTCTCCATGTATGCCATGTGCACCCTATCTCTCAATAATTATATAATGAAAAATATATATTCTTCCTTAAATGACACCACTTTGTTGAACTGTTCCATACACTACTGTCTTTCATGTGTATAGTCTTTCCAGATCAGCACATGGTGAATCAATCTTTATTTCCCCCCCGCCCATTTTTGTTTTTCAGGACAGTTTTTCTATGTAGCCCTGGCTGTTCTCAAACTCTCCCTGTAGACCAGGCTGGCCTTAAACTCCCCTGATCGTCTTGCCTCCATCCCACAAATGTCACTGCCATAGTTGGTGCTACCATGCCCAGATGTCAGTGTTTGGGACTCTTAATACTCTTTTTGAATTTAGGAATATTGTCATGTTACATATTCAAAAGCCTTTTTCCCTTTTGGGGGGATAGGGTGGGAAACAGGATGGCATGTGTCTTAGCCTGGCCTTGCTAGCTAGCTGTGTAACTGAGGATGACTTTGAACTTAAATTGCTTCTAATTCTTCTAAGTGCTTTGGTTACAGCTTTCTGCCACAGTACACAGCTTTATATGGTTCTAGAGACTGAGCTAGGGTTTTATGTGTGCTAGATAAGCACTCTGCCAAGTGAGCCACATCCCCATCCTCTAGTTCTTCTTTTAATAAAATGAACATACCAAGATATTTATTGTGACATGACTTAAGAGTGAGGCTGGTTGGAGAGAAAGCTCAGTGGTTAAGAGAAAACATACTGATTTTCTAGAAGACCCATGTCGGTTCCCATCACCCATGGCTTCATCAGGCACCTACAGTCATGTGCACAAGATACACTCATATATACATAATTAAAAATGATTTAAAATATGAGCCTTTTTAAGAGGAAAAAATGCACCAAGCAACCTAAGCTGTAATATATATATTATATATATGTGTTATATATATATATATATATATATATATATATATATATTAATTACATCATTCACTGAAATATTTGAACTCAGTTAAAATAAATGCGTTAAGTTAGGCATTGGTGTCACATCCATATAAGCCCAGCACTCAGTAAGTAGGAGCAGAAGGATCAGGAGAGCTCAAAGCTATCCCTTAGCTAGGTAGAGTTTGAGGCTAGCTTGAACTATATATAGCAAGACACTGTCTTAACAAAAACTAGGGAGGGCTGAGGGTATAGCTCGGTCAGTAGAATGCTTGTCTAGCATGAACAAAGCCCTGAGTTCAGTCCCAAGCATTACATAAATCTGGGTGTATAGGGGCCTTCCTATAATCATAACATCCAGAGGTAGTGGGAAGGGGTTCAGAAGCTCAAGGTCATCCTCAGTTATACACAGCAAATTCGAGGAGAGCCTAAGAGCCATGAAACTCTGCTTCAAAAAAATAAGACATGTCTTGATCAGGCTGTGAAATCTTTGAACTATTCTGGTCCAATCATATCTGTCCCATTGGTACTAAAGCACCGCTAAACTTTCATGGAAGTTAGAGTGCTGCTCAGATGAAGAATATTCTTTGCAGTGGCCAGAAAATTTGTATCACCTGTACTTCTCTTTTCCAGGGATGTTGGTGGTGAATGTGACATGGAGGAACAAGACATACGTAGGCACACTTCTTGACTGCACAAGGCATGATTGGGCACCCCCAAGGTGAGCATGTACAGACAATCTAGTTTAGATTGGTCTGATCCTCCACATAATTAATGGATTGTTGCATCTTTATCTTACTTGAGTTGGCCCAGTTGGCCTCAAACTCAAGCCTCCTAAGTGCTGGTAGCACTAGCTTGAGCCACCACACAAATTATATCCACTTTTCTTTCCTCCTTCCCTCCCTTCCTCCCTTCCTCCCTTCCTGGGACAAGGGTTCATTCTGTAGCCCAGGCTGTCTCAGAACTCAGGCCAAGGTGGTCATGTTACCTCAGCCTTCTAGGTGCTGGGATACAGGTGTTTATTTGAGTCATTGTGCCTGGCCTTATTTCCAAGTTGCAGTTTGATTTTTAAATGAACATTTCAAGTCAGTCTCAGTGCTATGTCCCTGTAATCATAGTCCTTGGTGGGTACAGAAGATCAGGAGTTCAAAGTCAGTTTCAGCTACAGAGGGAGTTTGAGGCTAACTTAGGTATATACCTTGTCCCCAAAATGTGTGTGATAAGATTAACATTTTAGGGCTGGGATATTGCACGAGGTTTAGGGATTCATTCTCGACAGCATCACAAAAATATAATAAAAAACCATTAATATTTCAATATCTCTTTATACTTTATTCCTAATGTTAGTACCCAGTGTGCTAGGGCTTGAGAGCCTAAAATATGGTGGAATAATCTAGAACTAGTATGCAAATGACATCCTAGAAAGTTACTATTTAATATAGTTCCCATTCATATTCCTAAAAGAAACCATAGTCATTAAAATGAAGGCTGAGCAGGAGAATTGCTGCAAGTTAGAGGCCAACTTTGACTACTTAGTGAAGCCTGGGCTTCAGAAAGCAAAACTGAGTATAGTGTCTCTTGTTGGGAGGCCCTGCCTCACAAAACTCACATGGTTTCCCCTTATTAATATCCTGTCCTATTTGTCCTTTGCCAAGGTTCTGTGACTCCCCCACTAGTGACTTGGAAATGCGTAATGGTCGAGGAAGAGGCAAACGTGTGCGTCCCAACAGTAACACGCCTGTCAATGAGACAGCCACAGCCTCTGACAGCAAAGGGACCAGCAACAACAGCAAAACCCGAGCAGGAGCCAATAGCAAAGGCCGTCGAGGCAGCCAGAACTCTTCAGAGCATCGCCCCCCTGCCAGCAGCACCTCTGAGGATGTCAAGGCTAGCCCTTCCTCAGCTAATAAGAGGAAAAACAAACCTCTTTCAGATATGGAGCTGAATTCTAGCTCAGAGGACTCCAAAGGGAATAAGCGTGTCCGGACAAATTCCATGGGCTCAGCCACTGGGCCCCTCCCTGGCACCAAGGTGGAACCCAACATTGTGGACAGAAATTGTCCCTCCCCAGTCCTGATTGACTGTCCCCACCCAAACTGCAACAAAAAGTACAAGCACATTAATGGACTTAAGTACCACCAAGCTCATGCCCACACGGATGATGACAGCAAACCAGAAGCTGATGGAGACAGTGAGTATGGAGAAGAGCCCACCCTACATGCAGATCTTAGCAGCTGCAATGGTGCTGCATCTGTCTCACAAAAAGGATCCTTGTCCCCTGCCCGCTCAGCTACCCCCAAAGTTCGGCTTGTTGAGCCTCACAGCCCTTCCCCTTCAAGCAAATTCAGCACAAAAGGCCTCTGTAAGAAAAAATTGAGTGGGGAGGGAGACACGGACCTTGGGGCCTTATCCAATGATGGCTCTGATGATGGACCCTCAGTAATGGATGAAACAAGCAATGATGCCTTCGACTCTTTGGAAAGGAAATGTATGGAAAAAGAAAAATGTAAAAAGCCCTCCAGTTTGAAACCTGAAAAGATTCCATCCAAGAGCTTAAAATCAGCCCGGCCCATTGCCCCTGCCATACCCCCACAACAGATCTACACTTTCCAGACTGCCACTTTCACAGCAACAAGCCCAGGCTCCTCCTCAGGCTTGACCACCACAGTGGTCCAAGCAATGCCCAACAGCCCCCAACTCAAGCCCATTCAACCCAAGCCTACTGTTATGGGAGAACCTTTCACAGTCAACCCTGCCTTGACCCCTGCTAAGGACAAGAAAAAGAAAGACAAAAAAAAGAAGGAATCATCAAAGGAACTTGAAAGTCCTCTGACCCCTGGGAAGGCATGCCGAACAGAAGAAGGTAAAAGCCCGTTCAGAGAATCATCAGGAGATGGAATAAAAATGGAGGGGCTTCTGAATGGCTCCTCAGACTCCCATCAAAGCCGGTTAGCAAGTATTAAGGCTGAAGCGGATAAGATTTACAGTTTTACAGACAATGCCCCCAGCCCTTCAATTGGAGGCAGCAGCCGCCTAGATAATACTACCCCAACCCAACCCCTAACTCCTCTACATGTAGTGACCCAAAACGGTGCTGAAGCCAGTTCAGTCAAAACCAATAGCCCTGCCTACTCTGACATATCTGATGCTGGGGAGGATGGGGAGGGCAAGGTGGACAGTGTCAAGTCCAAGGACCCTGAACAGCTGGTTAAAGACGGAGCTAAGAAAACACTTTTCCCCCCTCAGCCACAGAACAAAGACTCACCATATTACCAAGGTTTTGAAAGTTACTACTCTCCAGGTTATGCACAGTCCAGCCCAGGGGCTCTCAACTCAAGCAGCCAGGCAGGAATGGAGGGCCAGGCCTTAAAGACAAAGAAGGATGAGGAACCCGAGAGCATAGAAGGGAAAGTGAAGAATGATGTCTGTGAGGAAAAGAAACCTGAGCTGAGCGGTTCCAGTCAACAGCCCTCTGTCATCCAGCAACGTCCCAACATGTACATGCAGTCCCTCTACTACAACCAATATGCCTATGTGCCTCCATATGGTTACAGTGACCAGAGTTACCACACCCACCTCTTGAGCACCAACACAGCTTATCGTCAGCAGTATGAAGATCAACAGAAGCGGCAGAGCTTGGAGCAGCAGCAGCAGCGGGGACTGGACAAAAAGACAGAGATGGGCCTGAAAGAGCGGGAGACATCACTCAAGGAAGAGTGGAAGCAAAAGCCATCAATTCCACCAACTCTGACCAAGGCTCCCAGCCTGACAGACCTGGTGAAGTCAGGACCAGGCAAGGCCAAGGAGCCAGGGGCTGATCCTGCCAAGTCCGTCATCATTCCCAAATTAGATGACTCATCAAAACTCCCCAGCCAAGCCTCCGAAGGCCTTAAAGGGAAGCAGGGTGAGGCCAGCCACCTAGGCAAGGAGGCCTCTGAGGCTAAGACAGGCACTGAATGTGGCCGACAGGCAGAGGTGGATCCAATACTCTGGTACCGACAGGTAACTGTTGTGTGTAAGGAAGTAGCACTGGCTTGTGTAGGAGTTCCATAGAATTGAAATTAGCAGGAAAGTTCTATAATTTTAGAAATTCTGTACATTTTAATTTTTTTTAAAAAAAAGTACTTTTACCTCCTTAGAAGTTATTTTTCCCTCACATGGGAAAGAAAGACTAATAAGTCTTTTATGTCTATTATGTCTAAAGTTAGTTGAGCCTTCACAAACAAAACCTGGACATCTTGACTCCTAGCCCATGATCAGCTAACAGTTTTCTTTAAGAGCGATTTTTATGATGTCAGCTATGGTGCACATACCTGTAATCTTAGTACTTGGAAGGCTAAAGGCAGATTGTCGTGAGTTTATAGCCACACTGAACTACATAGTAAGTTGAAGGCCAGCCTACATTATATAGCAGTAGCAGAGACTGTTCTCTAAATAAATAAATAAATAATATTTAAAAATGAAAACTAATGGGTCTAAATAGATGGCTCAGTGGTTAAGAGTACTTAACTATTCTTCCAGAGAACCTAACCACTTCCTAATACTCACATAAGATGGTTTACAACCTCCTGTAACTCCAGCTCCTGGGAATCTAATGCTCATGCTCTCTTCTGGTCCCTGTGGACATTCACACAAGGGACTTAGAATCTCTTCCCTTTCCTCTTGGTGTCAGTCCTACCCTTCCTGACAAGAGTGGTACTGATGACTCTGAAAAATACAATTCCTTCTCTTCCAAGAGTCATTACCCCAGAAATATTACTCACATAATGTGCACCACTGATAGCTTTACCTTTTCCCTCCCAAATCTTATTTCCTTAGGCTTCAGAGGGCGTTTTTTTGCTTTGTTTTGTAGTAACAGGGCTGGCTTAGAACTCATATAGTTCTGTCTGCCTCTGCCTTTGCTTCCTCAGTGTTGAAACTTTTGTAAGCACAATTGGTAGAAGCCAAGATCCCACTCTGCCTTGGGTGCTGTAATATTCTGCTGGGACCTTGTGTTTGAAATGGATCTTTTGTGTGTATCACTTCTCAGCACTTATTCTATGGTTTTTGCAGGAGACAGAGCCCCGGATGTGGACATATGTTTATCCTGCCAAATACTCAGACATCAAGTCAGAGGATGATCGGTGGAAAGAGGAGCGGGACCGAAAATTAAAGGAGGAAAGGAGTCGGAGTAAGGACTCTGTTCCCAAGGAAGATGGGAAAGAAAGCACAAGCACTGACTGCAAGCTACCCACATCAGAGGAATCCCGCCTTGGGAGCAAGGAGCCCCGGCCAAGTGTCCATGTGCCTGTATCCTCTCCCCTCACCCAGCATCAGTCCTACATCCCCTACATGCATGGCTATTCTTACAGCCAGTCGTATGACCCCAACCACCCCAGCTACCGGGGCATGCCTGCAGTTATGATGCAGAACTACCCAGGTATAGTACCTAGTACTGGCTGTGCTGCTCTTGGGGAAGGGAGACAACAGTTTTCAAATCGAGGGTTCTGTTGCCTTGGCTCTACATTTCAGTGAGACTGGCTTGGATGACAGTCCTTTTATTTTCAATGTGTACTTGCTGTGAAGTTGCCACTCTAACCTTAAATGACCCTAATTACAGTTGGAAAAACTACCTCCTCCTTGCTTCAGCTAAAGTTGTCTCTACTGTCAGCTTTTCTTGATTGTCAGTGGTAAACCCCTGTGCACCACAGCCAGCTTCACTCTGCTCTGGTTTCTGCTGTGTGCAAGGCACTGTGGGGAATGCTAACAAAATAGGAGGCCAGTTCCAGTTCCCTCCACTCAAGGACTTCACACCTTATTACAGCAGGAGCAATACATGTGACAAATAATATTCAAATGAGAACAACGCAGGCATTCATCTTGATGGCTGTGTTCAGCTTTGAGATCAGAAAGCTGTTAGGGATGCAGGGAGCATTTTGAAGTCAGTTGGGGATTGTCTAGTAGATTCGGCTTGAGAAAAATTAGTTCCTACACTGCTGACAATGACTTCTCAATGGATCATGGTTTAAATATTTTTTTAACTTGTTAGGAAAAAATGTTCATATTCAACTCTACCCACTAATTTATGTTGCCTGAGAAGCTAGGTAGGTTTCCTCTGAAATGGAAGGGAATTTTAGGTCTTATTGTTATTTTGTTTGTTGGTTGATTTGAGGTTGGGGAGGGGGCTTGTTATTTTTGTTTCCCTAAGACAGGATTTCACTGTGTAGCCCTGGCTAGGCTGGAACTCACTGTGTAGAACAAGCTGGCCTCTAACTCATAGAAAGCCACCTACCTATCTTCTGAGTGCTGGGATTAAGAGCATGTCCCACCATGCCTGGCCATAATGTAGTCTTTCAATACATACTTAATGTTCACTGATCAAATCAAGGTAAATGGCATTCCCTACATTTGGAGCCTTTGTCATCTTCTCTTCTAGCACTTCATGAAATATGTAATAGGTTTTCATGAATTTACAGCCACTACTTTGTGTTGCATTACACGAGAGAGTTTATGCCTTCTGTCTGTGTTTGGGTATCTGTAATCCAACCTGCTCTACTCTGTCCTGCCCTTCCTCAGCTTCTGGTAATCCCATTTAGATTTGCCTGAGCACCCACTGCTTACAGCTCCCAGCCTCCTAGAGCTTGTAGTCTTGACATTCTGCTGGCATTATTATGGGATAAATTCTAAATACAAATAAGCTTTTCAAACAGACACAGGAGATTATCTCACCCTTGTGTTATACCTTACTATCTATATAAAAATAAGAGTTCCACCTGTTGAGGCTTGTTCTGGTCCAAGCACTGTCTTGAATGATTTATGCAGCTTTTTGCTAATTCTGATGTTTTGTTGTGGTTGAGGCTGGTTTGTGTTATGTAGCGTGTAATTAACTATGTAGTGTATGCTGCCCTCCAACTTTCCTCTTTCTTGCCCCTACTCTCAAGTATTGGAATCATAAGCTTTTGCCACTCTATCCCCCCAGCTTGTATGTGTTCGTATGCATATGCATGTGTGTGGAGGTCAGAGGCCAATATTACTTGTCTTTTTCAACTGCTCTCCAACTTATTTTCTGAAACAAGATCTCTCACTGAACCTGAAGCTTACTGATTATGCTAGTATGACTTGCCAGGGAGCACCAGGGATTCTCCTGTGTAGTGTCACAATGCTAAAATTATAGGTACAAGTGCCTGACCTTTTATGTAGGTCCTAATGGTCTGAACTCTGGTCCTCATACTTGTATAGGAAGCACTTCAGAGTGACTGAACTGTCTCCCCAGCCCTTTATTTCATTATTTTTATTTGTTTGATTATATATTCAAGTGAGTATATATTCATGCGAGTACCATGAATCTGTGAAGGTCAGACAGAAGACAACTTAGAAGTGGCAGTTATCTCCTTCTACCCTGTTGATTTCAAGGACCAAACTTAGGTTGTTAGCCTTGGTAGCAAGTGCTTTACCTATTGAGCCCCCCATTGTCTTGTTAAGATTTTTTAAAGATTTATTTGTTTGTTTGTTTGTTTATTATGTGTGCAGTGTTGTGTCCACATGTATCCCTGCAGGCCAGAAGAGGGAACCAGATCTCATTTCAGATGGTTGTGAGCCATCATGTAGTTGGTGGGAATTGAACTCAGAACCTCTGGAAGACCACTAGTATTCTTAACCACTGAGCCATCTCTCCAGCTTCCCCCCCTTTTTTTTTTATTTTATGTGTATGAATGTTTGCCTCCTACCGGAGGAGGCCAGAAAAAGTATTAGTTATGTCCCCTGCAACTAGGGTTACTAATAACCGTGAGCTGCCATGTGGGTGCTAGAAATGAAACCTGGGTCCTTTGCAATAACAGGTGTTCTTAACCATCCTTAGCACCACTTGTTATTTTGACACCAAGTCTGACCTTGTAGCACAGGCTGCCTTAGCCTTCTCAGTGCTAGAACTTTCACACTGCTTGTTTGTGAAAGGCCTTTACTATGTGCTCTGACTGTCGTGCAGGCTAGCCTCCTTGCAACAATCCTCTTACCTTTGCCTCCCAAATACTGGTAGTAGACCACTTTACCTGACTCGTGACCTATTTGTATCGGTATTTATTTATTTGTGAGAGAGAGAGAGAGAGAGAGAGAGAGAGAGAGAGAGAGAGAGAGAGAGAGAGAGAGAGTGTGTGTGTGTGTGTGTGTGTGTGTGTGTGTGTGTGTTTTACGTGCATGTAAGCACACTGTTTGCAGAGTCTCTTGGGGCTGAAGTTAACAGACAGCAAGCAGCCTGATGTGGGTACTGGGAATTGAACCCAGTTCTCTGGAAGAGCTGTATATGCTCTTAACCACTGAGCCACCTTTCCAGCACCACATACCACCCCTTTTGTTTTGTTTTGTTTTGTTTTGTTTTTGTTCTGTTTTTCAAGACATGGTCTTTCTGTGTAGCCTTGGCTGTCCTGGAACTCACTTTGTACACTGAGCTGGTATTGAACTCACAGAGATCCATCTACCTCTGCCTCTAGAGTGCTGGAATTAAAGGCTTGCACCACCACAGCTATCCTACCACCTTTTTTTTTTTTTTTTTTTTTCAAATAAAGAAAACCAAAGTATCATTATGTAACCCTAACTGGCTTGTATAACTCTCTCTGTATAGACCAGACTGGCTTTAACCTCACATAGATCTACCTGCCTCTGCCTTCCTATGTGGTGGGATCAAACTTAGGTCACCAGGCTTGGCAGCAAGTGTTACCCATCAGTTTGTACCCACTCAAACATCAAAATGGCCCTTGTTTTGTTTTTTGGGGACAGGATCTTGTGTAGTCTAGGCTGATATTTAACTCACAGTTCTGCCCCAAGCATCACACTGTTGGATTACAGTGTGCTACCATGCCAAGCTGGTTTCATTTTGATGGTAAACTGAAACTCAAAAAGGCTATCTGTTACTTTATTCAGGGTTATCCAGCCCAAGGCTGACTTTAAATCCTTTGATCTTTCCACTTAACATAAGACTCTGAGAGAACATCAGGAACCATAGGAGATCTCAGAAGTCATCTGTGGGAAAGTGAGTGCCATATTCTTGTCCCTTCGTCTGTTTTTTCCTGTAGAGCTTGTTAAAGAAGGAAAAAACCAAGAGTGTTATCCCAGAGATGCCATGGTAGAAAGTGTCCCAGATGCTACCTAGGAGATCTGATGCCACCTGACCACACTCACTAGAGCAGTTTCTTCTGCTATCCTCATTTCTTTGACTGCTTGGTTTCTCCTTCCCCAGGTTCCTATTTGCCTTCCAGCTACTCTTTCTCCCCCTATGGCAGCAAGGTCTCAGGTGGTGAGGACGCTGATAAGGCACGTGCCAGCCCCAACGTGAGCTGTAAAGCCAGCTCAGAGTCCAAAGCCCTGGACATCTTGCAGCAACATGCCAGTCACTACAAAAGCAAGTCTCCCACGGTAAGTGTTGCATGCAGCCCAGGTCTTTGTCTAAAGACCAAGAAATCAAGATCCACAGCATGGGAGAAGTGGGTTAGTTTCAGGTTCTGACCAAGGTGTAGTTTGGCTGACTTTACATTGGCCCTGTGGGTGCACCCCCTGTATTTGTAGGTAATCCCTGTGTTTTTAATGTAGGGCCCTGGTTAGATCACTAGTGTGTGTATATCTCATTATAGTACCTTTGTGTGTCTCCTTTCCTTTCCAGATAAGTGATAAAAATTCTCAGGAGAGAGATCGGGGAGGCTGTGGGGTAGTTGGGGGTGGTGGCAGCTGTAGCAGTGTTGGGGGAACAGGAGGTGGTGACAGGAGTGTCGACCGGCCCCGCACTTCCCCTTCCCAGCGCCTGATGTCCACACACCACCACCACCATCACTTGGGCTACTCCTTGCTCCCAGCACAGTACAACCTACCCTATGCCACAGGTAAGGTTCTTGTCCTCATCACCTCTAGCTTTGTTTCTCTTTCAGTATTAGTACCTGTAGCGAGGCCCCTGCCCTCCAAAAATTTTTTTTCTCCCCTCAGACTTATAATTTGAGATGATTCCCACCACTTGGGAGGTTGATGCAGGAGCATAAAAATAAATTTGAGGGCTGAGGAAATTATTTAGTAAAGTACTTGCCTTGCAAGTGTGGGTATCTGAATTCAGTCCTCAAAACCCATGTAAAAAGACATGTGGTGGTGTGTGCTTGAAACTACAGTGGTTAGGTGGAAGGAAAATCCGGCAGATCCTTGGAGCTTGCTATCCCACTAGCCTAGCCTACTTGGCAAAGTTTCAGGCCAGTAAAAGACCTTGTCTCAAATAAAAAGTAGGCAGCACATGAGGAATGACACCCAAATTTGACCCCCTCACATGTGCAACATGCACAGGCAGTGGACCTGGTCTTAAACAAACACAAGAACATCCACTTTGTCCTGGGTTCTAGAGGCCCAAATTAGGCTGACATTTATTTCCTCCCTGGGAGCTTGAACGATTTCATATTCAGCAAGTAAGGAACAGGTGTTTCCACCACTGAAGAGAAGCAGGCTATTGAAACCAAGCTGTATCCTCACCCACTAGATCTGGCCAAGTATCAGGGTTGTTTGTTTTTCTGTTGGGACCCCAAAAATTCAGTGGCGCTAGAGGAACCTAAGGGGATATTCTTCCCTATATCCAGCCAACTGGTGAAGTGTGAAGGACGATTTCCTGAATGCTACCATAAGTATGTTCTCTGCTTGCCCAGGGCTTTCCTCTACAGCCATTGTTGCCAGCCAGCAAGGCTCAACTCCCTCACTCTACCCACCCCCCAGGAGGTGAGAATGGTAAGTCGCTTTTGTTAATTTGGGGCATTAAATTAACAGGGTTAGCTGCTACCTGGATCACAGAATCCCTGTGGTGCTCAAATCAGGGGTAACTGTGTGAGGTCTGGAAAAGGGGCCTGTTGGCCAAGTGTTGCATCAGCCTTTTATGAAGCCATGTACATCTGAGGGCCTGTGTAGGAGCCTGCAGTAGCTGCCTTTTCCTGCGGTTCTTTTTTCTTTTTTGCTTCTTTATTGTTGAGGGTGGTGCACATGTGCAGAGGTCAAAGAAAAACTTAGAGGGACTTCCTTCCTCTAACTAGGTGGATGATGGAACTCACTCAGCTCCAGCTTGGCAGCAAGCACCCTTACCAAACCATCTCACCACCCTCAGCTCATTCTCATAGAGCGCCATCTTGTGGGTATGATGCCAGCAGGCAACAATTACCTGTTTACCTGTCATGTTTCCTTTGCAGAACACCAAGTGCCCAGATGAAGTCAGCTTTGTGGGCCAGACTGGCTCATTCGAGGTGGTGCTGGAGGTGCCATTTTACCATCGGTTACATGGTGTTGATCATCCTGTTTGCCATGCCTACCGTGACTGAAGGCAGACCCTTAGCTATCTCACCTCACCAGACCCTTGGACTCCCTGACCCTCTTCCTCAGGAGCTGAAGAACTGGTACTTTGCAAAAATATTTATTCTCTCAGCCACATTTATGACTGTTGTGGCATCTGTGGAGATGAAGGCATAGGAGCGACCGAGGGAACACAGTCTCATCCCAGAGAAGTTACTGCTCCGTTAACCTAGCCCCTAGTCTACTGCCGGAGCAGTACCCTACACACACCTGGGAGGGAGGGACCCAAGCATGGGGTAAGGTCTGAAGACAGCACAGCAGCCACACCCCTTCTCATTGTCATTACCACCAACAAGATTCCACATCTCCTCAGTGGTTTGGGCCCTGGGAACTGGCAGCACGTGGAGAAATTAGAATCTCAGGAAAGAAGCTGGAGGCTGTCTTCCCTGTAGTTGTGAAGATACAGTCTTCAAGCATGGAGACATCCCCCTCTAATGTGAGCACAGATAAATGCTCAGAGCCTAACCTTTAAAGGGAGAGTAAGGCATTTGCCCCACCAGAGCCCTTGTGTTCCTGTTAGGCAGAAGGTAGGGGTTCTAGCACCAGCACAGGGCTCCCTGAGGATGCTGGGAGGAGAGCTGGAGCATAAATGGGAGGCTGTGAAATTGGACCTGTTTCCTCACCAAAATTCCTGCTGCTTTTCATCTCCCAACTCCTTGCCCTTTCTCTGTTCTTTTTAACCCCTTGGTGCCTTTCCCAGGGGGGAATCCCCATACTGACCTCACCTCTTCTACTGCTTGGCTCTTACAACTCAGGCAGAATAGACTTCCTTCTCAGCCTGGGTAACCTTGGAGTCCACCGCATCACTTAAGGGCATGAACCAGAAGGCAGGCTGTAGGATTACCCAGTGGTTCTTGAACATCTGAGTATCTTTCTCATTTAGGGTCACAAATGTATACAGCCCAGTTCCTCTGTCCACAGGTACATGATTTTATTAAGTTCACACTAACTCCACGTGTGCCAATATGAGGCGAGTCTTTGTAACATATGTTGTTTTAGGGGCCACTGACTGAAATAACTTATTTGAGCATTATACATCCAAGCCACAGAGTGGACTTGGTGGGATGAGGCTTTGAGGCGCAGACATTTGTGTTTTGAGTTGTAAGGTTGTATGCTGGGAAAGTGATGATCCAGCTTTATCAAAGTCACTTCTTCCCAGGATGTGGGATGGTTTTAGCTCTCTGCTATTGCAGGTATCATCCCTTTGTTACTTTCCCCTCCTGTCTTTACCATCTGGACTTCAAGAGAGAGAAAGATCCACAGATCTCTGCCTAGGCTAACATGGTGCTTATGACAAGAATGTCAGAATTAACAGTTTGAGAGCAGGAAGGTAGATGGCTCTGACTTCTTTGGGAGAGTGAGGTGGTGGCAGACAGTAAGCACAAAGCCCAGCAGAAGGTGGTTTCCAAGGACCCATGAACCCTCCCTGTACATATAGACAGTCTTGGGGCTGTTAGCACCTCTGACCTACAAACTTTTTCTGTTTCCACGTGCTTATTTTTGTTCAAGTTGGGTTCTAGGCACTTGAAAAATCCATTTTAGACCTATTGGCAGAACCCCAAGTAAGCAGCACTTTGGGTGGGGATCCCCTCCCCTTTATTCATGGAAGTAGATATTGGAGACACTGAGCCTGACCCACTAATTACCCTTACTAAGAAGGTGACTGACTTTCAGCCTAATTATGCCTCCCCCAGAACTCCAGTGAATAGAGCCAGGTGTCCATCTGTTCCTGTTTGTTTTTTAAATATTGTTGTGTGTTTTGTATGTATCTGTGGCACTGGCCTGCAATGTGCTTTGTACATATTGTAAAGAAACCATTGGAGCAATTTTCTTTTTCATTGGATAGGCACTGCCCATATTCCTGCCTTTTCCACTTCATTTTATAACAGAGGGGGTACGTCTGTATTTGCAAGACAGCCTTAGGTTCTGCAGAAGGTAACAGCTTTCTCTTTCTCTCTCCTCTCCCTCTCTTCCTTCCCCCACCCACCCTAAAAAAGTCAGCTCTTTGATCCCTCTACCCAAGTGCCCCTTAAGAACAGGCGCTACCCTGAAATGAGACTAGTGGTAGAAAAATGACACTATGTTCCCAGCCTGATCCTCCTAGTCCCTAGTCCAGTCTTGCCTCCCTGAAATAGTATCACACAGCTGCATCTGTGGAGATCCTGACTAGTGTTGAGAGATTAGCTGTCCACCTCCACATTCCACAGGGGTTCTACCTGTGACATCTAGTCAGAGACAAGATCTGGTCCAGTCTGCAAAGCCTCTCATTGAGCTGCTCATGCCCTTGGTGTTAAATAATCTCTGAGACCTATGTGGAGAAGCTACAAGAAGTATGGGCCTCACCCCAAAGAGGGCAGCCACGGCTTAACAGCCACTGCCTAGGATTCATGTCTGCTTCCTCATTTATGGTGTGCCAGTTCCCTTCAGCTCTTCCCGGTCTTATACATGTACATGTAATTGCTACTTAGCCTATACTCTCTAGACATCTCAAGGTCAATGAAACACACAGAAGGGTGAGAGGGTACCCTCTGGAATGATCATTTCATGCATTTCCTCTTCAGGCTCCAGGGTGGGGTAGGGGCTTAGCTTAAGGAAGTTGGGAGTTAAGACTAACAGAAGGGCTAGAGAATTAATTGGATCTAGGTTTGAGGCCTCCTCATCACTTACTACACCATATACCCTATCACCATCCCATTGTGTACTCAATGCCCCCCAAGATTCAGCTGGGCAGCTAGTTGGCCCATAACTCTGGGCCTTTGTCATTTGTTACTAGGACATCCTAAGAAACTTTCCAGTGATTCCCTGCCATGGCCCTCCCGGGCCTTGTCCCCAGCCCCTCCTGCCCCAGCCCACCCGCTTGCCTTGGTGCTCAGCCCTCCCATTGGGAGCAGGTTGGGGCAAGCTGGAGGCCCGGGCTGGAGGGGCAGTGTTGCTGTTCATAGCTTTTGTTCCATTGGCGTTGCTCTGTTGGATTTAATTTCAGTCTTCCTGATTCTTCCCTTCTGTAAAGTGTACATTACCAAGTTCCTTGTTTTTTTATATATATATATATATATATAAATATATATATATATACAAACTGTACTCTTTTTGCCTTTGTACATTCAGGCAAGAAGAGAAAATAAATCTTTTTAAGAGACAATCACAAATCTGTGAGGGCTGCTGGTTATTTCTCCTGGAGTTTGCTGCTGAGCTGCTGCCTCCTCCCCTAGCTGTTCTGTTCCCCCCTCAGCTTCCCTGTGTCTCTAGTCCTGCTCCATATGCATCCTCAGCTTCACTTTCCCTGGCTGACAGCAAGCTGTTAAATCCAGTGTGCAGACTACCTTCCCCTTGAGCCTTTTCCTGCCCAGCATTGTTTTCCGGCTTGGCCACTGGCTATCCTATATCCTGGCCTCCTCTTTTTACCCTTGGATCCCATTCACCAAAGTGGCTTTGGACCTCTGGGTACTCTGGGACCTTCCTCTCAGAGGCCCTGGCTTTGAACATTCATTCATCTATGAAACTATGCAGCTGGGAACTCTCTGCCTGAGATTTTGCACTACTTAAACTTGCCTGGGAGTTAGAATGGAAGGTTTTTAGAAACAAGTGGGAAAATTACCACCCAGAACTCCAACCCACACAACCCTCACCCATCCTAGCCTCCCGAGAAGTCTGCTGGTCCAGGGATCACTCCTGGACTCCTGTGGTTACCTTATGAGATCAAGGGCTAAGGATTTATTGATGAGACTCTTAAAGAGTGGTATCTCCTTAACACAGCCCAGCCAAACCATGTTCAGCCTTTCTCTTTTTCTTACCTTTCTCTGCCCCCAACCCCCCCCTTTGTCTTTACTTCCTTTTCTTAATTGGCTTTGGAATTGAAGTATATTTTTAAATTATTTGTTGTATTTATTGAATAAAGTTTTTAATGTCCCTGTTCTTAAATTTAGACTAAAGTTTGCCTTTCACGTATCCCTCTCCTATTCCCCTCTTCACCACCCCCAAATTTTCTACCTTCTAAGTTGCTTTTTCAAATGAAGTGCTGCTGCCTGCTCCCCATAATTGTGCATTGTCAGTGGTGGTCTTCAACAGCCCAGCTTTTGTGTATGTGACAGAAGTTCTTTGGGTAGGTATATAGTTTCCAGGTCAGCCCATTTAACAGGCTATAAGCAGAAACCATCAACACACAGCAACAGAAACTGTGTTTCCCTCTGCCTTGCAAGCTTGGGCTGAAAAAGTAAAGGACTGAGTCTTATTTCTTTGTTACCCCTGTTTATTTGGAAATTAATTTCTTAGATTTTATATTTGTATCTTGACCTCCCTTAATGCCTTTAGGATCTATCTCTAGGAGTCGTCTATGGATGGTATTTTCAAGCCAATTTTCATTTGAGCTCACTTTAAAGGAATACCAGTACAAGTGGAGCCCAAGTTTAGAGACTTGGCTAAATAAAACACAGGTAAGCACCAGGGAAAAACAAGCTGAAAATGGGTCGTGCCTAGGAGAAACTAAGGGTAGACTACAACGCAGGGGGGGAAGGGATGTAACATGCATGTAGAGTAATCTCAGATGAGGTTATGGGAGTGCTTAGCTTCCTCTCCAGGACCACTGAGAGATGATTCTTCATGCTAGTGGTACAAAGGGACCAGAAGACATGCCTTAGAACACTGGGCTCCAAAGAGTTACCTAGGAAGGGAAAGGATGTACTCTTTCTTTCAAAGACCTTAGAGCAGGTATGATGGCACTGCAGAGGCTGAGGCAAGAAGGTGGCCACAAGTTAAGGCCAGAGCTATAGCCTTGTCAAAAGCAGAAAAGAAAAAGACTTCAGGTGTAAAAGTTGGGCAGCACCATAAAAAACTAAAACCTAGTTTTAATATCCAGCATTCTACAACAACTGGAATTCTGGGTTAGTTGCTACCACATAGGAAAGTGTTGTGTATACACATCTCTCTCCAAGGGCACTTAGTGTATCCCTAGCAACCCTACAGTTTAACATGGCCCCAGAGACCAGCAGCCCTTCCCCTGGGAAGTGTATATCACATTTGTATTATGTTAAGCCCTAGTAGCAGTAGAGAAGTTGGTCCTGGTACAGGAATAAAGAAAAGACCAACCACAACTTTAAATCAGTTTATTGACACAGTAACACAACACACTTGCCTCCCTGACACCCCCACACCCAATGAAGATTTCTTTTCTCTTTAGAACAAGCTGTTTGGTGAAAGCAGTAAAGGGCAGGCCACTTCTACAGTCCAGCCTACTCCTAGGCCCTGTAGAGCAGACACTACTCGGAACCTGTTAGGGAGGCAGTCAGTACTGTGCTTGGCCAGCCAGAGGCATCCAGTCCCTAAGAACAGATTCCCCCACAAATCCCAAGCCCTGAGTTTGCTAGGCTTCCTCTCTGCTCTTGCTAGGAAAGAGATCTTGGGGCCTGGGCCACAGAGGCAGGAACTCTGGTGGTAACTTGAGATGTAATTTAGCTAGTTTCTTAAGGCCCAGGCCCCCCAAAAAGCCCTGGTGGTGGTGGGGGGGGGTGAATTTCAATGCCCCTATTTAAAATGCACTGGTAACATTAAACAGATTAAGCCAGCTTAACCAAATGCCAGAATAACACTAAGCTGTAAAGAAAGCAAGGTCAGACCTGCTTATACCAGGCCAGACACAAAATGCCAAGAAGCCCAAGGTGGAGTGTCAAAAACAACCCAAGGACACTACCCAGGAACTTAAAAGCCTATACTCAGGAGCCCCTGGGTGACAGGAAGCAAAGAAATAAAATACCTAAGTCTTAAAAACAAAAACAAAAAAAAAGCCCAACTGCAAGGAAACCCAAGCCTGACAGTGCTGCCCACCAGCCCCTGCCCCCAGGCCAGTCTCTCCCCCTCCAGGCAATTTCCTCCCCTAGGCTAGATGGAGCACATCACAGCGCAGTTTAAAAAGCTTCTAATGCCAGTTCATAAACATCTTCATTTACTATTTGTGATTACATGTGAATAATATGCTTATACTGTTCTTTATGGAAAACAATTTCAACGAGTCAACTCCAAGAACACAATGGGCAACCCTCAACCTGAGCCCCTCAATGTCCTTCCCTAGACAGCCAGAAACACTCTCATCTGTCCCAGGGCTGCCTAACTTCCCCTCTTCCCCCACTGTGGCTCTTGGGCAAAACATCCTCTATGACCATTAGTCCTCATCAGACAAATTCTGGTCCAGAGGGTAAACCATGAACATCACATCTGGCCGAGAGGGGACACAGGGATGACCTGGACGTACAATCTCAAAGCCCAAGAAGCTGAATGTCTTCAGGAGTGGAGCTGCAGAAAATAAAGCATAGAAGGGACTCTGATGAGGCTCAAATCCAGGGGAAACCCCAAAGATGTAACAAATTCTACCACGACTGTCCCAGTTTGTAAGGCAAGTGTGCACATTGCACAGCCCTCTGTTTCCATCCTAGGCCCCACTGGCTGGGCTCACCTCTGTCTTCCCGGCCCTTCCTGAAGCAGACGAAGACGTAGTTCACTTTCATCTTCTCCTCAGCAAACTCTAGCAGTGCTAACAATCTGCAAGAACAAAGAGCACTGCTCAGGTCCACTGCCACCTCCCCCAGATTTCCATCTCACCTCCAAGAGGACCTATGGAGAGTTAATATAGAATCTCCAGAAAAAGGTTCCCATTTGAAGACCCCAAACCTAGAGCCCTATAGTAAAGAGAAAAATACATCACAAATAGGCCAGGGGGTATCCCTCTCCCTTTACCTGAGTTCTCCACCTGAAAGTGACACTGTCTTAACTAGTGCAGGTCATAGGACAGTGGGGGGCCTTCAACAGACCCCACTTCATTGTGGATATTACACTGAGTCCAGGGGTAGTGGTATACTCCTTTAATCCTACCACTCAAAAGGCAAAGGCAGGTGGATCTCTAAGTTTGAAGGCAGCCTGGTCTACAAAGTGAGGCTATCTCAAACAAAAAAACAAAAAAAAAACTGAGGTCAGTCAGGAGAATTATCCCGGGACTGCTGTTTACAGATAGACAGCATGGAAAACGGTGAAATCCATTGAAACTCTGCCATTCTACCTGTATTCCCTGACCTTTGAAACTGAACCTTTGTATGGTGGCTCATGGTTAATATGTTAACAATTTGCTTTAATTATAACCTAAAGCAGGCCTGATTTACTAGCTAAAAATAACTTCTAACAAAGCATTATCGACTTAGGGGAATCTAGAGCTACAGAAGAAGTTATAGACTCCTCTATAAAGCTTCTACGCCCAATAACCATTCTCTTCATTGTCTCCTTACCCTTCTTTGCTCCCATCAGCTAATAATCCATCTGGGATTTCTATAAACAGGCTCTGGCTGGACAGAACTGCATCCCAGGAAGAGACCTTCACCTCCGTGACCTCATACTGGAAATGGACGATGTGAGGTTTCCCATCGTTCACGGGGAGGTCCTGGGTTACAGTGAGCTTCTCGTCCTGAGAAGGAAGTTAAGGCATAGAACAGGATCACTACCACATGCTACATCCTATGCTCCCTAAGGCAAGTTGGGTGCTGGCATCCCTTGAACCATTCTAAGGATGGCATGGGTCATGGAGCATGTCAGAAATACGGACTTCCCTATAAGCCAGCTGCAGCTATTTCTAACAATGGCTGCTATTGATAAAAGCCAGAATAAAATGGGAAAGGAAATCTTTACTAAGAACCAACCAAGTGCTAAGCACTGTGCAAAGTACTATTCATGTATTAATATTATCTCCACTTTAAATATGAGATAACAAGGCAAGAAATTCCCTCTCTTATGAGAAAACATCAAAAACAAATGAAATTCCAGCATTGTTACACTGGAGACTGAGGCAGGAGGTTTATGAGTTAAAGGCTAGCCTGAAATACACAAGACTTTTTTGATTGTTCAATTTTGAAACAGGATCTCAGTATATATATAGCCTTGGCTGGCCTGGACCTCCTAGAGATCTACTTGCCTTTGTTCCTGCGTGTTAAAATTAAAGGCATATTCTACCATATGTGACCTACCTAAGTAAGACCTTGCCTTTAAAAAAAAAAAAAAGCTGTTTTAGATGAACAATAGCTGCACATGGCAACACACACCTATACTCCCAACATTCAGAAGTTGAAGTCAACTCCTTGAACACAGAACTCAGATGCCCTGTTAACTTTCCATTCCCAGACTAAGAGAAAAGCTGGACCAGGTCCTAGGCTTCCATCAACAGCAGATTAAAACACAACAAATGTTCTCCCTTTAGGATTCCAGACAAGGCATGCAGCTGCTCAGTGGGACCTAGAAGGCTCCACCCAAGGTTCTATACCAAAATCCTCCTTACCTTATATATTAGAGCTGAGAGAGAAGGATCCCTGCCGCCCCCTCGCCCACCGGGGATCTTCGACAGTGGGTGAGGGGCATCAGGAGCACCACAGAGGCCCTGGAACAATGTGCCTGCAGCACTGGAGCTGGGGACAGTTACTCAAAGGCAAAATACTACTGCAAGAGACAGACACAGAAGGTCAGAAAGTAAACACAAAGATATTTAGCCCATGCCCCTTCAGCCCTCCCTCTGCCTTAAATACTCTAAGGCTACACCACTGCCCACGTTCTTTCTCATTGAACTTCCAGAAATGACACTTTTTTGAGTTAAGAGGCATAAAAAGTCCCTGAAGGCCAAGGCAGTCCTGCTAGATGTGTCTGACCTATCAAATATTTTCAAGTTCTGACACAGAAGTCTCCAGCCTCATGTCCCCTAACCAGTCTCTTTTCCTTAGCCACTATATGGCACAATCACTAAACTTCAAAAGGAGTGGCAACGCTGGCTACTCACCTTCCCATTCTCCAAAAGGAAACTGTAATTAAAACAATACAAAACAAAAAGCCCCAGATTGTTGTATGGTTATGTATGAAACTAAACCTTGCACTTGGCTCCAGAGTATCATGGCAGAATC